TCGGCTATTCCGGAAGTCGGTACTGCATAAAAGCACTTGTAGTCAGCACACAGCTGAGGCAATCGTTCACCATTGTTCGTACGTACCAAGTCCAGTCCATGTCGACAATCTTACTGAGTCTCAGATGCGCTGAGCCTGTCCACTTGTCCATTCAGATCACCATATTTGAGGTGGTTATCTCAACCACTGTGCTTGCATCTCGAATTCTTGCTTCTGATACACAGCACGCATCAACGCAGAGAATGCCCAGTGTGAAAGCAACAGAAGCTTGTTTTCCTGCTTACTTCAGAATGCGGTCACTAAAGGTAACCAGACAGACTGGGTGTCGACGCTTGAAGACTGAATTCGAGATTCTTGAGGAGGTCACCGCCGGACGACTCGCAGATTTTGCTTGCAAAAACCGATGCGGAATGAACGGAATCATACGCCAATTGCCGGGCCTACAAGAGGAATTATTAATGAGGTAGGAGAGAAAAAGTACGTTAAAAAGAATGGAGGCAATATGCTGTTTCTCCCTTACCCACCCTGCCGTAGGCATAAATTAAGGCGACCTCTCTGATGGAGCCACGCGAGAGCCGATGGGGCATGAGTTTATTCGTATATGGGCCATTCATGGTTATACGTGGGCTGAGTTCCTACCAGGGCGCCCACATTTAGACATGTGAACCATTGGGGTCCTTAACAAAAGTCTTTGGCTCAGAAGTGCGAGCGCAAGGCAGAAATGCGTTCGACGGAAAATACAAACACATTACCGTTTTCACGGAACAAGTTGCCACACATGTTCCAACACCCAACATGGATCACCAACAGACTGTGTTCGTCAGACCAACTTGGTATGAGAGACTCTGCGAGTGTCGCCCGGACACTCTTCCCCGTATAGCTCAATGGATCGCCGAGGTATGCAAGCCGTCACACCACGGTAAGGTTCAGTCTCTTGGTGATAGGTTCCATTAGTTAAAATTGGGTAGAAAGAATTCTGGCGAATCCACGACACAATCAGCCTCACTGTTAGTCATTCAAGCCCGGGTGAAGGTTAACTTTGGGATAAGTGGCAAATGGCATCCACTGAAATTGTTTTTGTGACTTACCTTGTCTGCCATTGACCTCAATTCATGAAAACAGTGGCCACTGAACAAGGACAAAGAACGACTTGTCAGAACAAATTCAGCGTCGTCATCATTATTATCGTCGACAACATGACAGCAGTGTTCAACACTGATGCTTTACTGCAGTACAACCATGATTTATTTGAAAGTCTTATTGTAAAGAAAAGAGTAAAGGTGGAGGGGGAAGGGACTTAATGCTAGCTTACCACAATCATTCCGAGGTGCCTATACCTCCAGACACTCACTCAGGCGATATGGATAGAAACTGAAAACAAGAAGGCCATTGACATCGGTTGGCAGGCATAGGTTATAGTGTCTCCAACCAGGCACAGTGAAGATCACGCGGTCCCAATCCTGAAAGGCGATTAGCACCGACAGCACCTGAGCGTTTCGTGATCTCTTTCATACTCCTGCTTATAAATTGCTTATGAGGGAGCGAATATACACTCATTTGCGAACTAATTCGTTTTTTCGAGAAACTCACCTGGAGCCCAGCTGAATCTCTCGTTTGTGATGTTCTCAGGCAACTGAATGTGCTGCGCCAGGCCGCCCCATGATTCAGTGGCTACGATATTCGAGATATCGCGATACATGTATATCTTTATAATGCACTACTCATAAGAGAACATCACAAAGGAGAGATTCAGCTGGGTTCCAGGTGAGTCTCTCGAAAGAACCAAATTAGTTCGCAAATGAGTGTATATTCGCTAATTTCGTGCAATTTGGTTTCAATGGGACATAAGGTTGATGGAAACCCGGGGACTGCGCCTACCTGATGAGCCCCAAGAAGGGCGAAACCGGTCGTGGGCTGTCGATGGATTTTCGGCAACCTTATGAGTAGTACATCACAAAGGTGTTTATGAAGTATTTGTAGTTGATTCAAACTCAGACTGTACTGGCGAAGAACCACAAATCTGTCAAGCAAATTTTTCTCGGGCGTATTGTCTGATTTTTCAATAGTGTTCTCCATTGTCAAGCTGTGTTATTGCCCTTGTAAACATGATTTCATTTGACTTGATCACTGGTTTAACAAAGGGGCGTTGTACTGTATAATAAGCCCATTTAAGTTAGAAATTAGAATGAAACAACACCAGATATTTCGCTGTTCCTCGGTTTTCTAATAATATTTATTTGATTCCAAGGCTATAGCTCATGTTCCTATATGGCTTGTGGCTTTTCTGCCAGTCCAGCTGTTTGGCACAAACAGTTGTTCGATTCGATTAACGGGTTTAGATGTAGGTGCGTCTGGCTGACAAAGCACCATGTCTGGCTCCACTTACAAGTGCTAGTGACATTTTGGAGGCGTGCTGCAGCTAAAATGAGTAACTTGTCGCACTCTGTCGTCCCTAGTTAAAAACTGCAGAAGGCACCAGAGATCTTGGTAATGTAGTACCATAGTTTGTATTGACCTAGACTAATATAATCCAACTCGGATACTGTGATTACTAAATGGTGACTTCCTCTTCTCCTTCTAGAAAACCAGGAGAGCTATTCTTGGAGACCAAGACAGGATATGGGTAACCCCCGGTCGTGGCTACTTCAAACCAAATTACAGGTATAAAGACGTTGTGCTCGGATGGATGGACCAACCAAAAATCATGGCGGTCGTCCGAAAGAAGGCTAAAATACTTATGATCATGGGACATGCCTTACCCAGAGAAATTGACCACCTTCCAATGTACGAAACCTTCCGGAAAGGTTGTAAAGACTGGCTCAGTAATGGTTCTTCCACAGCAAAGTACGTCAACATAAATGACGACTATAAATCGGGAGATATCCTGCTTATCACAAGGGATGATCAGTTTGATGTCGAAAGGGTCTATGCAAAACTCATATCGGGAGAAAATTCCGCGTTCATTGGTTATCCTAGTGAAGACGTTGAAGACAGTGTGTTCCAACTGCTGGAGAAGTTGTATGTTGACTTTGTTAGAACGGAAATGGACATACCTGACCAGTTCGTCTACGTGAACGGTTCAGCTAATAGTACCGCTTTCATACCTACAGGTTATTGGATTAAGCGTTATGTGACAAGCTGGAAGGCCTTTAGTACCGAAAAATTTCACCTGAAAAATGAAGAGCTTGGCGTTGAGCAGAAGGACATTGCCGATAACGTAAAGGCACTCGCGAAAAAATATGAAGCATTGATGAGGCACTTGGGTCCGCACGACGGACAAGTATATATAAAGGATGAAAAAACAGCAACTGCTTTGCTTAACTACAATTTAGTATTAAAGTGGCAGTTCGGCGAAACTGGTTTTGTCCTCCCAAATATTCACCAATTCCCTGGAACCATTGCCCCCACTGTGAAGCCAACGAATGTCGTGGCAAGAGTTTATGCGGATCTTCCCGGTAGTTTCTTCCCGCTTGGTGTGTATGTTAAGCCTGGTCAGGCTTTCAAGTGGACAGTGCTAAAAAATTCAGACGACACATTCTCAAACCAATGGATACGGATAAATGCGCATACCGACTTGATAGATTGCCATTCAAAATGGAGCAGATGGCCAGCAATATCTACAGAGTTATGTCTGAAGAAACAGGGCCATTGTGTTAGCCCTCACGGCGGGGTACTATTCCTACAATTAACCCAGGGAATCGATATTTCGATCCGAGTGGAAAATGTTTATCGCTGCCCTTGGTTGGATCTTCGGAACCCGAAGTCAGTTGAATCGTTTGAACAGGAAATCAGAGATTACAGCAGCGTGCCTTGGATGGTTATATGCGGTGATTCAATGAATTCAATGCTAAGAACAGTAGACATCTGCAACTCAAAGGCAAGTGAGGTTATATCAGCTGCTCGTCACTATGATAACGCAATTAAAGTGATGCACAATTACAGGGGATCCCGTTGGGAAGAGGCAAGATCCGAAATGCTTGTAGCAGATTTCCAAACTTCTACTGGATCTGATCATTCTGGTTACCCATGTGTGGGTAACCTTGATTGGAGTCGACGGTTTACTTTTTGGAAGGATCAACCAGCCTTCATTAATGTGATCGGTAAGAACCTACAGGTTAACGAAGCCACGTTGAAAGGGGGTGACCAGGTGATAAACAACGTTTACCAACTGCTTGTAGGGGACGTACTCTTAGGCCTTGATCCGTACCAAGGGGATATGGACACTGAAAAATGGAGCTCATCTGATTACACCGGACCCGGCTTGGGTTATTACAGATACTTGGGAAAGCTTTTTGGATACGGCCTAGTTGGGAACGCTTTTATGGAAGCTCGAAAAAATCCTCCAGGAGACGATTGGGAAAAAACACAATTCTGGATCAAACAACTGTGTGTAGAAACCGGTTATAACTTGATCCCATTCCACAAAATGTGGAATTTCCCCATTTCCGATGAGACTCAAAATGCATGTAAGACACTTCCGTGTTTCTTTCCGGACGATGAACACACAAAGAAATCCCAGAGCGTGGTCGACGCAGTTCTGAAAGGGTTCAAAGGCAGTTGTTCTCGCAACAACCCGAAAAGGGTGGAATTTCGGGGTGACATTAAACGGGGTATAAACACAGTTCGTCCGCAAAACATTTTTCTAGAATTTCACTAATTAGTCATTAAATCTTCCTTAGTAGTTTCTGTGAAAGCAAGCAAATATATCATTTCGCACTCTGACTAAATTCTTCTTTCGTCATGAAGGACCCTGCCGGTGTTAGGAGGAGCTTATAGTTGACGTCTCGTTATCAGGTGTAATACTGATGGAATTTCCACGAATCTACTCCAGATTCAAGTGGTGCCTGCTAGGCTGGAATGTAGTCTGACTGAATCCCTCACAATGTGGAGTTTATTATGTCTAAAGCGAAAAAGCAGGGTGACCGGTTTTCCTCAGCTAATGTGAAGGAATAAAGAACGGTGTGCCCAATTATCCCATATCACATGGAAAGAGCACTGGCATGGGTACTGGTTTGGGATCAAGCAGTCTGCTCGGCTATTCAGGAACTGGATTTTCAGGCTCGACCCTGGGGGCTTCGGCCTACAGCCCCTCCACGTTACAAACACCCTCGTCACATTATTTAATGACCACACCCCGTCCTGGATCCACCTCTCCCAGTCCTCGTGAATACTATCCGACACCAACACCTGACACACGACGGTGATAGTTTTATAAGACAGGCGCCTGCTCCATTCCATCTTACTTTGCGATCCCATGTCCCTACTTTTCGGCCACCACTGTATCATTGCTTTCAACCACTGCGCATCGAAGGCCTTCTTCCTCTCATTTTTCTTTCTCCCCTGAGGTTCAACCTGTTTACTTTTTAACATCTTGATAAAATTAGTTTGCTCTTTTAGAGAAAATGAATCATTAGAAGGCCCAAGTTTTCGTGAAAATTGTGAGTTTCACTGCTACAGATTTGGCAAACACTGATTTCCCTCGCCTTGCAAGTTAATAATCCTGGGTATAGACCCCTGTCCATATGTGGGGGAACGAGCAAGCGTAATTTGAAACAAGTATCAAGTGCAAAAACTCTCGCAACGGGACTGTTGGGTCTCATGGATCTGCTTGATACCTCGTTCCGAATGTCTGCTGTCTCAAAACAAATGTTGGGAGACAGATAGTTGCGTACCTACACAGCATGGAACTGGATCGTGTAGGAATGAGAGCCGACAACTAGAGACGTAGTCATGTTGCCATAGATTTAAGGTTGAGACATGGGAAAGACGGAAAAATTCGGAATTACCATTTAGCCAGAGATCGTGGTTGTTTACAGGTCTGGGAATTTAGGCCGGTTTAGTTTGTATTCCTATCCACTTACATTAGAGCACAGTTGAACACCACGTATTTCTAATCAAAAGTTCGGTTTCAAAAGTGTGTTGACAGTGGACTTCACAGAGCGTCGAAGCGTCCAGAATAGAGTTAGTGATGAAGGGCCTCGGCGCTTATTTCGTTGAACAGATTAGCCACTTTAGTGAGTTATTTTCTGTCCCAACTACAAAATTTCATCCATATGTATAATAGTGGAAACACCTAGGATAAAAATTTGATTAGTCTTTCAGGGGTAGCCGTTCTTTCGTCTTCAGTGTGAATAATTACATAATGCGCGTTCGGAATTTCGCTCTGTATTGCGGCTTGAAATTGGCAAATTGTTTTGTTGTGAACATCATCTCTTCTGACATTCAGTCAGACATACACTTGTTCAAGGATACAGAAGTGTATTTTAACTTGGTTGCAATGGTTGGTGGAGTAGATGCATTGGAATAACCCCTCTTTTTTAAGCATTTTCGGTGAAAATCGGTCACACAGAAGCCCAAGTGCTCAGCTTAAGCCTCAGTCAGATGACGGGACAGATCGTCGCATGTCAATAAGAGACCTTACAACGGACACCAATCGACCGATATTTGTACCTAAACCGAATTTGACTTCATAGTGGTGGCGTGCGTAAATTGGTGTATACAATTTCCATACGGCAGCACTCACTGAAATTACAGAAATTGCATCTTCCATATTTTATCCTCTAACGTTTAGCCAAGTGCACTCAATGAAATCAGCTCAAAGACGTTGAGCTTGTAGAGGCACTAGCGTGGAGGACTCTAACGTTAAGAACATCGCTTAACACTAGCACACAACGCAGAAGGTTTTCAGATAGCACTTTATTCGAAACATCAGCATGGACTCCGATCACTTCTTGGGTTAAATAAGTATGTTCACAAGGTAGGCACCAATCATCGACAACTAGCCGGTATTCTGAGGGTTACTGAATAGTCTACGCATTTACCGGTCTTACATTTCACCTTGTCAAAATACTTCTGGGGTCGGTTTCGGGCCTCGAATGTTTACAGTGTCAGTCTGGTGCAAAACTTATTGGTCCACTTGAGAAGTCCACCCTGGTTCGAGCTCGATTCTGTTCGTTAGGACGCACCATATATAAAAGACATCCCCTGTCTCTTGCTTTTCACCTTGTCAACATTATGTATTCTTGGACATTGAATTTGAACCTGAATCATTTGACAGACGGGTCGAGCGTACTGGAACCATTTCAGTACTGTAGGCTAGACGCACTGATTTATCGTTTGCAAGCAGGCTAATATGACTGGGATTGGCTTGCGATTTACCCGAAATAGGAATGCGCCACCTGAGGTAAAACATCGACTCTTCGATGAATGGAACGCATCGAACATTCGTGCTGCCAACGATTCATGTGAAAAACGTCTTACACCGTCTCATTCGGTGCCCCTTAGTTTCCGCACTTGCACCGTTTTATAGTGATTAAAACCGTCCCCCGTCAGTATCGCTCTGGGCGAAATACTGAATTGTCATCATGTTTGGGAACGGAAAGTTTCGCTCTCATTCTATTATATCGGTTTTCCATGTAGTCAAGTTTCAGATGTTTGTGCCTGTCCTGTGCTGGATTATAGACAGTGCTTTTAAAGCCAAGTAGATAGCATCACACTGCGAGTTAACAGCACTAAGAAGCAAAACAGCTTACCTCTGACGGATGAATGAACGGGACCTCTGTAAACACGGTCTCAACTTTATATGGCTCGCAGGAGATAACAGCCTGGAAATACATGCGTTTATTGTCTCTAAAAGGTGACTCGAATTCCTCATTCAGCCCCTAAAAATTGTTTCATTTTCAGATGTTCTATTTCTCTATTTAAGTTAATATGGAAGTCGCCAGTGTGGTGTTGCCCCTGGGAGGACTGATAGACTCATTGTACTGGTTTATGTTAGGGCATAGTAGCACGCTACCAAATTAGCTCCATGAACCTTCCTCGACGGATCATTAGACATGAAATTGCTGGAAACTCATCGATAGTTCACAACTAGATTTGCTATTCTTCGGGCTCATCAGATAGACTAGGTGCCGCAGCTTCCACCACCGAAGTTAACTCAAATTTGTACTTGACTGATGAGATGCACAAACAACATACAACAAACACGCATATTTTGTCAATTTTTGTAACTTAGTTTGACTGAGTCTGGTGGAGATTTGGGCCGAAACTAAACTTCAAGATAGTTTGTGCTGTCAGTATTTCGTCCTATTGATTGGTTCCACTGTTTAGGATGTTAATTCCACACTCAAAAAGGTAGCCTGGAATTTCTGACAGAGCTTTTACAGGAAGATGGGAGATTTCATTAACATTCTAGATTAGACAGCAGCATTACTTGGTGTATCACATTCAGCTGACTAATATTATGGACAAGACATTCTGCCAGGGTTAGATTAGTGTCCGGATAGAACTGAATCAGTTCGTAAATGTGTGTAATTAGTGAATCGCATATCATTTAGACACGATTAGTACATAAGGTTGACGGAAATTCAGGGACTCAGCCGGCTTGACAAGGGGCATTAGCCACCGGGAGGTTTCAGCAACCTTATAAGTAATGCGTTCTGTCCAGAAAACATACTGCGTTATCTCGATTATCGTACCCACAAAAGAATGAGGGGGCTTTGTGCAGATCATTTAGTTGAAGAATACCCAAAAGGCGACTTCAGTCAGTTCTGCCGTTGAAACCACATTATCTTGCAAGTTAGTGTATTTCCTGAATAGGTTAGGGGTCGTTCAACCCATCCTAGTTCACTATAATTTACTGGAACTAAATGTTTGCTGTTTCAACGCTGCTCCGTCTATTCAGCTGCCGTCAAAAGCTGGTACGCGGTGCAACTGCCTGACAAGCCAGTTGGATCGTATGAAACGCGCCTTTTAGCCCAAAAATTGTATCATCCAAACAGACATTTACGGTCCTAACAAAAAGAGCTCTTTATGTGCTCCTGTATCCCTCCAATGCATGTTGTCTGAACAAATATAGCACCGTAGAGTGTGGACCCACAAGTATGATGGGATACTTTCCGGGTTGGGAAAGCCACCATTATGCTACCTGTAGATCCTCCAAAAGGAATAGGAGAGTTTACGCAACAAATTTGGTGATTTAACGTTGCTACACTCATCGGAGTATGGCCATATTACGGGTATTTCCCGGAAACTTTGGATAGCACGTTTGAACAGAATACCATTTCGTAAATGAATATCGGGGTCTTGTAAGCACAAGCAGGCAACTGTAGGTCAAGAATGGCCTTCACTTCCACGGATGAACCAAGGAAGCACAAAACCGAACTCATAGTGAACTTATTGTGCAGCCAAATTCAATGCGTCTCGATTAAAAAAAATCAGCCATACAGGGGCTTGTGTTCTTATGGAGACTTATCACACATGGATCTAAGGGGTCCGTTGCTTGTTGACCACTCGCTATAAACTGTTGAATTGACGACTACCACATGATAGTCACCAAAAGCAACAACTAAGCGTCAGAAGGTCGCCGAATGTTTCGAAACAACACTGTTTTTTCATATAAAATATGGTTTTCCAAAGCAGAATATATAGTTTACAAAACCAGTGATGATCTTTGTGATCGATAACTCGATTAAAATTTGCCCTTGTGACACAAATAAATTAGGAGCAAAGTGAACACAAACGTGAACAAAGTCTATGCTGGAAATTTGTAAGGTTTTGAATAATGCGCGCACCGTTTGAAGAAAAACACTCAGACGCATTTTGCAAAAAAAACGAAAAAGTTATTTTCACCGTTTGAAGAAAAACACTCAGATCGCATGTGCAAAAAAAACGAAAAAAGTTATTTTCACAGAGATTTTGCTTCTTTCAGAAAGAGGAAACTGTGCGAATCATAATCACTCCGGTCAAAAACACCGTGGTTTAATAAGAGCTTATCGCTGAGGAATTCTCTGTTGCTAGTTCGGTGCCGGGTTACTAACATTCATTCTATCGCCAGTCGAACAAGAAAGCTTTAGTTCGTGCATTATTCGGTGGCATAGAAGCACCAGTAAAGTACCTGAAAATGATACTTCATGCATCTTCTCCTTCAAATCTTGCGGCTACTAAATGCGAGTGCACAATGACGGATTCTTAGCTTTCCTTTTTTCTGAGCATCGTAGCAAGAGTGGATATTTCACTGGTATAACTTTACCATATCTCTTTATATATAATGAAAGCCACTTTTTTGCCTCCCGATGAGGAGATCATTGTTGTAATTCTAACAACCCCTTGCGGATTGTAAAATTGCTCACATCTTTTGATGTAACAGTTGTAAGGAAATGTCGCAAAATCCCAAAACAACAGGTACGTGATGCAACGACA